TCCCGACGCGCTGGGGGGGGGCGGTGGAGAAGACTTATTCCTGCCTGTTGGCCGGGGGTTATGAACCGTATGTCACATCATTCATGCTGAGATGATAATGAACGCGCGTCTAAGGAATGCCTTCTGCCCGGTCATTCAGTGAACATGCACAATAAACATTATCAAGCAGGTCACCAGGAGCGGCTAACGCGAGGGATACATCTGCCCACGCAGCTTTGGGCTCACAGCTCCAGTCTTTTGATGCAAGTTGCCTGACTTGATTTCAAAGACCCACTTTAAAAACAATAGTACGTTGTCAGGAATCAGCTCTTCACCCGTGCTCAAAGGCTCTTGGATCTCAGATTCACAGCTCACACAGAAGGACTGCAGGTACTCCTCGGCAACAGAACCTGAGCTTTCTAGAAAAATTGTGTAGCAACCCTCCCGCCTGCAAATACTGCCTTGAAGCAGTGAGCAGAGTGTAAGCTACACCATGATGGATTGCCTCCAGCAACAATCAGCATGAAACAGGAGGTCCAAGAGACCCATAATCATCTCACCTGGTCTGTTAGCTCTGAAGCCTAAAGATGACAAGGTAAATATCTAGATGATTTCACTGCTACAGGTTTAAAGAAATATCCAGAAAATGTTTATTCCATGCCCCAAAGTGTCCTGAACAAGTTCTCAGGCACCAAAATGCCCCAATGCCCCAAGCCAGTTGCCTCCAAGAAGCCATTGTGTCTGACAACACTGAAAGCGTCTGAAAAACTAAACTTATAGGGGATGTGCAAAATAATTGAATTTAATATCAAAATAAATTAACAGAGGATTACTGCACCAATCAATTTAGTCTCTGCATTTCCAGTCTGCCTGGGATTCCACTGACACTTCCAAGGTGTCAGCAGCTTTGATGGTAAATTTTCTACATGGGTAACTCATGGGATCTGGGAATTATTTTTCAGTGCAGGATGCTCCTGTGAGCTCTTAGGGTCCCACCAGTTTAACTGTGTCAAGTGTAGTAAACTAAGTGATCCGCCTCCACCTGCAAAACACACACGTGCACTGCGCACAGTCTCTCTCCCTCCCTCCCTCTCTGTGCTCTGGAAGTAACTACAGCTGATCCTGTTAGATTAAGACAAATTAAGACTCTAATTCGTAGGTTTGCTGTTGGGTCCTACGGGTCAAAGGTCGATATGGTGTATTGTGGCATGGCTATAGGTTTACCCAGGGCCCAATATTTTATCACAATAAGCCAAATGGGGATGAGACGCCCAGCGGTAGCCCATAAATCTATTTGCAGTGAACTGTCAATGTCCCATATACCAGGGTAATTTGTTAATTCAGAGCTGGGTGTCTTTTTTCACTAGACCTTGTAAACTCCTTTCTGAAACATCAATAAACCATCTACTTTGACTTGTTAATCAAACGACTTTATTCAGTCCAAAGCAATTTTTTCCTAATAAAAACAGAGTATTTATCTCCATGGCTATAAAAGAGGATTGTTTTCAACTGTTCACTTATAGTTAAGAAGCACATTTAGTTTGGATTGATTTCCAATGCTTCAGTCATATCTTGTCACTTTCCATTTCTTACACTCAGCATCTCGGTTTAGCTACTTAGCACGGGAAAAAAACAACAAAACTTGGTGCTGGGGGGCGGCAGCATGGGGAGAGATAGGCAGCCAGGCGCAGAATTCAGGGAAATTAAAACTAACAGACATGGCCACCATCCTCTAGAACAACCCTTCCAGACCATCCTGTCAGCTGAGCGCTTGGGCGGCCACCCAGCTGATGAGCACAGCACCCACCGCCAGCAGCCTGCGTTTCTACAGGTGGTGCACATCCGCACATGCCTCACTGCAGGTAACAAAATGTATTCCGCACAAGGGTGGAAAAACTGAGAGGGAACACAGGCCCCCTCACCAGTGTTTGTTTTAATGCCACGCCCAGGCACATTGCCCAGTCTCCAGCTGCAGCTTTACGTTTCTCTTTTGGCCAGTGAGGTGGCCTCCTGCATCACACAGCAAACGACAGGTTGCTCAGCGGAAACATGCTCACTTTGTGCACCAGCCCCAGTGAGGTGGGATCAGCGCGTCAGAACCTCGCCCAGGCTCCACAGCGGAACCGTGAAACACCCGCCCCCTGCGGCAGCCTCCATGAGAGGCAAGGGGCAGTCCGGCCATCGGAGGGGAGCCTCCTCCACCCTGGGAACGTGCCTGCAGCAGGACTGACCACGCGCCTCGTGAACTGACGCTCAGCCTCTGCCCGGCTCCCTTCTCCTGCCCAGTGGGATACAGACTCTTGAGGGAAGTGTGTGTTGTGTTTGGGGCTTTCTTGCTGTGTGCTGAGCTTGTGTTTGTGAGTGAGGGTTGGTGTGTGGTGGTTTTTTTTCCCCCTGTGTTTTTGAGTGAGGCTTTAGAGAGGGAGTCCTCCAGGTAGAGGAGAAGCAGATACAGACTCTTGAGGGAAGTGTGTGTTGTGTTTGGGGCTTTCTTGCTGTGTGCTGAGCTTGTGTTTGTGAGTGAGGGTTGGTGTGTGGTGGTTTTTTTTCCCCCTGTGTTTTTGAGTGAGGCTTTAGAGAGGGAGTCCTCCAGGTAGAGGAGAAGCAGATACAGACTCTTGAGGGAAGTGTGTGTTGTGTTTGGGGCTTTCTTGCTGTGTGCTGAGCTTGTGTTTGTGAGTGAGGGTTGGTGTGTGGTGGTTTTTTTTCCCCCTGTGTTTTTGAGTGAGGCTTTAGAGAGGGAGTCCTCCAGGTAGAGGAGAAGCAGATACAGACTCTTGAGGGAAGTGTGTGTTGTGTTTGGGGCTTTCTTGCTGTGTGCTGAGCTTGTGTTTGTGAGTGAGGGTTGGTGTGTGTGCTTTTTTTGTTTTGTTTGTTTTTTCCCGTGTTTGTGAGTGAGGCGCTTTTTTTTTTTTTCCACTTCCCCTTTGCCTCCCTCTCCCCTTCACAGAGCGTGTGCTGTGATTAGCAGGTGGAAACTGTTGGCTTCTACTTAAAGTTTGAATTCTAGAAGCCTCTGCTGATTGGCTGAGCCTTGGTAGGGGGAGGGACTTTCAGGCACTCGGCAAGCGACCAAGGAGCTTGTGAACAGGTGAGTGCTAACAGGGAGTTTAGAGAGAGAGTTGGGAAGGGCGGGAGGTTCTCTCACCTTTCTTTTTAAATCCCTTCTCCAGGACAGCAGTGATGGATGGTGATGGGTCTGCTGTTGTTACCTGCACAGCATTGGCCATGTTTGTCTTCCTCCTGGAAGAAAGAAGGGATTTCATCTGCACCAAGTGCAAGTTGGTCGCCATTTTGGAAGAAAAAATTAGCGGACTGGAGGCCCAAGTGTCGACCCTGCGCTCGATCAGAGAGGATGAAAACTTCCTCGATAGAAGGCAGAGTTTAATCCTTCAAGCACGGCAGGCAGAAGCGCCAGAGAGGGCAGTACGTGACCAAGAAGAGAACTGGCAGCATGTAACTTCTAGAAGGGGAAAAAGGCCAGCACGGGAATCCCCCGATGCTATAGAGGTAAGCAATCGCTTTCAAGCTCTCTCCACAGGCTCTGCAGTGCTGAAAGCTCTGGAAGGGACCTCACAAGGAAGAAACCAGAAGGGAACACCATCTACTGGAAGGCATGGGATGCGTAGTCCTACGGATGGGGGTTCCACGGCCACCACCCCCAAAGGGAAACGACGGGTGGTGGTGGTCGGGGACTCCCTCCTAAGAGGGACTGAGCCATCCGGGAACACCATCTACTGGAAGGCATGGGATGCTTAGTCCTACGGATGGGGGTTCCACGGCCACCACCCCCAAAAGGAAACGACGGGTGGTGGTGGTCAGGGACTCCCTCCTAAGAGGGACTGAGCCATCCATCTGCTGTCCGGACCTGGAATCTCGAGAGGCGTGCTGCTTACCGGGAGCTTGCATTCAGGATGTGACTGAGAGGCTTACCAAACTGATCAAACCTTCGGATTGCTACCCCTTCCTGCTTCTCCACATGGGAACTAATGATACGGCCAAGAATGACCTTGAGCGGGTTACTGCGGATTATGTAGCGCTGGGAAGAAGGATCCAAGAATTCGGAGCGCAAGTGGTGTTCTCGTCCATCCTCCCTGTTGAAGGGAAAGGACTGGGCAGGGATCGTCGAATTGAGGACGTAAATGCGTGGTTGCGCAGGTGGTGTCG